TGATTTGAAATCAGAGTAAAAACGGAAATGTTTGAATGTAAATCCGTTTATATACACTCATATTACATTATCATATGCGTTGCGACCCATTTGTGTCAATTTCTAGGTGCCAAATATTAGCGATTTAGCTCCTTTAAACTCTTAACTAATCCATCAATTTATGTAAATGGTTTAATTCTGTTCAGTATTTACAATTATATGATGAACTGAAATTTCATTGATCTATATAAATGGTACACACGCCATTTTTATGTTTTTTGAAATCTAATTGATGCACCCGTTTTAATCCAGGAAATAATATAGCATTGATATTTTGATTTGGTTTTCTTAATTAAATGTTAATTAATTGATCTGAGTACATATTAGGATGGTTTAAGCTGTGAGAAATTTAATTTTTTCCAAAAAAATGCAAATCATGCACAGTTACTTTAAGTTTACAATGTGTAACGAGCATATGGGATGTAACTAGTCATAAAGCAAATTGAAAATCTATTTTTTAAAATCAGGATATCAACCCAATATCAAAGACTAAAAATGTAGGGCGTGTACGTAATCAAAGATATTATTTCATGTCATTATGCTTTTGTTAAAAAGGAATAACAAAGTTAATATTTGTAGTCATGTCTGTGGAATGGTTGTATTGAGAAATCAAAGAAAGTGTGAATCATCTCCCTTACCACACCCGAACCTAACCCTACTATTGATGACTGATACTTTGTTTGATAGTTAAATCACGTATTTAAAAGGCAGATTGTATATATGTATAGTATATATTGTATATGTAGGACATTAGTTATGAACGAGGTAAAGTTAATAACTGAAATCTTATAATGTTTATAGGTAGACAAGTGGGATATATATGTTGACTGGATATTTAATATACATGACTTCTATGTTTCCTGATTCGCATATACAATGTCAGATCTACAGGTAAAGTAGGTTAACATGTTATCATAAATAAATGACCTCTTTCATATAATTTAGGTTCATTGGGAAGTCAGACAAACTGCAACCCAGTGATATGCAGAGAGGGTGGCATAGGGGTGACAGCCACAAGCATCCATTTCATGAGGGATTCCAATCAAAGAATGAAATTAAATTAAGTTTTTTGAAATTTGAAAGTGTTTTTTTTACAAGCTGCCCTATTTAATTTTTGTGCCCTGCCTTTCGAAAATGTTCATTAGGTGAATGCCTTAACAGTGTTCAATCATGTGCTTTTTCCACTAAGGCTATATAAGCAGAGATAAGCAATTTGATTGTTTAAGACGTTGGAACACGATAACTTTGGTTCTAATTGGGTGAGTGTGATGAATCTCAGAGTATAGATTCATTATATCAATACCTTGAATAAGTTTGATGATGAGAATTTTCTGCTCAGGCTAACTAGCGATAAGCAACTTGATTGGTCAAGACTTTGGAACATAACAACTCTGCTTTTATTCTTTAAGAGCATTTAGTAACTGGGTAGATAAATAAACTATACACATACTTATGGAAAACAGCTAATGATTTATTTAGGCAACGTTTCGAAGCGGTTGAGACAATACTTTTCGAAACGTCGCCTAAATAAATCACAGTAGCTGTTTTCCAGAAGTATTTGTATAGTTTATTTAACTCTGCTTTTAATTGAGATAGAATGTTAAAGCTTGGTGTAGATTTACATTAGGTGAATGTCTTGACTGAGTTTGATAATTAACATTTTCTGCTAAAGTTCAGCAGAGCTAAGCAATTCCATTGGTCGATGCATTAGGACAAGATAACGTTGATTCTAACTAATGGAGAGTCATGAAATTAATTAATATATGTTATCTATTTATTTTGGGATGTTGTTACTGAAAAACTGCTAATCAATTTTTAAATTTGCTAATCAAATTTGGCAAAATTAGACTTTTTGATTAGCAGTGCTGCTAATCAACTGTGAAAAATAACCGACAGCCCTGGACATCAGTCTCACTGTTGGCTTGTTTTTTTTTTTTAACTGTTTTGGCATATTGAAAAGGTCTCCCTGTTTCACATTTCCGAGTACCGTACTAGACCTTATACTTGAGTCTTGAGGGGTATACAATGAAGAATTTGGTCCTGGGAATCACCAAACCTCCATACACTATACTGCTGCAACCTGCTTCAGTGGACTAGCTTCTAGAAAAAACAGCTCTAATTCTGTCAGAATTTCATGTGATGAATAGTAGATGTAAAATTTATGATCCTTTTAAGTACCGATTACCTTTACCATATTTTAGATATACACAAAAAGTGCACATTGAAAATTAATGTGCAAAGAAAGGAGTTCAAACTACAGAGTAAAAACTTTAGATCTTATTTAAATACATTGCTTTGTATACAATCTTACTTGTTTTATATCTATTTATTTACCAATACAGTTTTATTACGCATGAAAGATAGGCTGTGCATTTGTAAAAATATCATGCACACTTACTAATATCACTATTTTATTTGCATACCATAAGATTTTTGCATACCATGTCTAAAAACAAGGAAACATCGGGCCAGAATCTCAAACAGAAACTGTGACATGTTTGGCGTTATTTATAACCTATATAAGTCAATATAAAATAGAACTTTCAATTATAGTCTCTGTTGCCAATCAATAATAGTTCTTCACATGAGTAAACTGATCTGTGGTGTAGAAAAAAATCCTTGTACTGTGCCCACGTTTAATTTAATGAGTAGGAGTAGAGAAGATGTTGGCCGTGTAGTACGCGTGTAATACACATGTTCAATGACACTCGGCACATCGTGTGCTTGTAATTTGAGTGGAAGTGTAACAGTAGACAATAAATGGTTTCTCGTGGAGTTTGGTTGACAGTAATTCTAGATTTATTGATGTTAGTCTTCTTCTGTCAGTTTTCTACTTCTTCTTCAGACGTAAAAAGTTCAGTTATTTTTAATCTGGAACCTATATAAGTATAGGATTATTTGTAATAATGGTAGTTTGCCTTGAATATGTCCGACACTCCAGATATTCTTAAGTTTGTTACGCCTTATTTTTGTACAGACGTAAGTAAATTTTCCTATTCTATCTTACTTTTGATTATCAGTAGCCGATTTTAGAATTTATCGAGCTTTTGATTTATTTTGCATGGGGTAAAGATTTTAATTTTTGATGAATTCTGTTGGGTTGTTAGTGCTGTGGCTTGATAATTGTCAAAATGTTTTAAATACATGTAGGTTGACGTTTTTTTCATAATCTTTTCGAGTTATATCAGATTATATTTTATGATTAGAAAGTATATATCACGAGGGTCACAAGAAACTTGACCACAATTACTTTACTTGATAATATCGTTAACAATAATAATTTGCACATAATTTCATATGGTTAACAACAATTAGTTGTGGAAGATTCAAGCATGTAAGTGTAAAATTCTGAAAAAAAGTGGCATGGTACAGCGCAGCCCCTCAAATCCATTCCCCTTAATCTGACTGTACGTTTGTTTGTGATTTCTGCATATGATCGTGTCTTGTCCATAAATTTGTTTTGTGTATTTGTATGTGGTGCAGCCCCCCCCCCCCCCTACTTACTATTAGTTTATTTCAAAAGGTGATCAATTTTTCCAGCTGTCATCTTCACACAAAGTTATCAATTTTTTTTCCACTACTGTTTATTTTCCCCACAAATTGTTATTACCATATGATATAATATACAAAATATTATAGTTGTAGTATAGAAATTATTTAGGCTGAAGTCAAGTAAACAGTGGACTATTTTGTGGGCCCACCAGAAATACACATTTCTACTTTTAAAATTGTCCAAACTACCCAATGACTGACTAGCATTTAAAGTAGATGTGTATAGTTTGGAGTGTTATTAGATGAGGAAGAGGAAGCATCTTCACACATCTTATATCTAATACCATTGCTATTGATTGCCTTGTGGTGTTTTGTGAAATTCTTTTATTGTAGACAGTTAATTAAATCTGGAGTTTTATTGTCAGTTTGTCTAAATGGATTTACAATAGAACTGTGAATAACAAATAGAAATGTTGAACAATACACTTTTAAAAACTTAAGTTAAGATTTCCCTACTTAGATAAATGCAACATTAAAATTTTCATTCGATAGGGTTTAAGCAAATAAAATCTGAGAAAAATTAAGGTTGTTTTATTTTCAGGGAAGACAAAAATTGACCTATTTTCCTGTGGTATCAATCATTCCAGCCAATACTATCTTCACCTCGACTACAACGAATATAGTCTAGACAAAATAGCTCTTAATTTGTATTCAGCGTTCATGGTCATACTAAGATTCATTCTACTGTGTCTAGCAAATGGTTGGGCAGAAAAATAAGATTCACATGTATTTGAAATATGTAGAATGCATTGCTAACTGGTTGATGGATACAACATTCTCATAATTTATTATGTGAGCTGTATACATGAATGGAACCGAGGTTGGCTCACTAACCTGGAGGTCCCATATTTGATCCATGCGATGGTTGAAAGTTCATCTTGATTTTCCGGCGTGGTTCTCCCTTGTCAGTGATGTAGTATATAGGACCTGGCAAGAGACAAATGTATAGTCATTTGGATGGTACAAAAAACTGAGGTCCCATGTACACATTGGCGTGCACGTAAAAGATCCCTTGACAGTTGGAATTCGAAATAAGAGTAGGTCATAGTGCTATTGTTCGGTCAAAATGTCCCTCATAGCACATTGCATGGTGTATGCTTGTCTTCATCAGCCTTGTTAGTTCAGAACAACAGGATGTTAAACCCCATTTCATTTCATGTTTTTTGTATACATGAACAGAAAGTTACTACATGTACATAGAGAATGAATGGCTGCTATTTTCTTGCGATTATATTTATTGTAATCAAAAAGCACACACAATATAGCCTGAATGATTGAGACTAAATTTTCAGATGTCAGAGACACGTTCCGGTTACAAGGTCCAGAGAAATAATTTTTGGTGTTTTCTTAATTTATATAAATGCCATAAAATCTATCACAATCAACATGTCTGTCTCTTCTATTTTCAGATTCCTAAAGACAGATCTGTACGGCTGAGAGTAATGCCAGAACAGAGTAATGATTACCGAGTTGTGGTTTTTGGTGCTGGGGGTGTTGGGAAAAGTTCCCTTGTGTTACGATTTGTGCGTGGGACATTCCGAGAAAGTTACATACCCACAATAGAGGACACTTATCGCCAGGTCATCAGTTGTAATAAACAGGTGTGTACCTTACAGATAACAGACACCACAGGCAGTCATCAATTTCCAGCAATGCAGAGACTCTCTATATCTAAAGGACATGCATTTATATTAGTATATTCCATTACCAGCCGTCAATCATTAGAAGAACTTAAGCCTATATTTGGCGAGATTTTAGAAATTAAAGGTGATATCGAAGGTATACCAGTAATGTTAGTAGGTAATAAATGTGATGAAACACTTCGTGAAATCACCACACAGGAAGGAGCGGAACTTGCCAAGAGATGGAATTGTGCTTTTTTAGAGACCTCGGCTAAAACTAATCATAACGTCAAGGAACTTTTTCAAGAATTATTACAGTTAGAAAAACGCAGGACTATGAGCCTTCAGCTGGAAACCAAAAAATCCAAATCACAGAAGCGTAAGGAAAAATTAAAGGGAAAATGTGCATTAATGTGACAATATGTTTATAAGAACTGTTAATTCTTTGTTTTCATGGACATTTAATTAGTAGAAATACAGTGATATAGTGCATTTTATAATTATTATTTGTTCTAAGTTGTTAATTATATTTTAGTTATGTTCATGTTATTATAATTATATACCGGACAATTTGTAAGTAAAGAAATATACATGTTTTAATATTGTGATATACAGTTTGAATACATTTAACTCAGAGCTGAATTAAGGACTTTGTGGGTTTGGTAGCAGAATTTTGTCAGAAGTGTTTATAATCCATGGGGTGGGCTTCAAGTAAAAAACAATTGTGATAAATAAAGATAAAAAAAATCGGCCATCAAACACACAGCTTGGAGGTCTAAATTTTTCTTTGGACACAGAAATCCAAATAATCTCCAGAAAAAAATTCTTTAGTTTTTTAAGATGCCATTTTGGGCCAGGAGCTGTGCATCACAGGCACAGTACGTGCTGTCCATATCTGCCTTAGTCCAGTTCTGATTTAACTTGAACCTTTTCACTGTCTTGTTTTAATTCAAAACTCAAATTTAAATTCATTATACATGTAACAATATGTTTTAATACTCTTCTTGCCTAAACTTGTGATATCTATGCCTAAAATCTAAATAGTAAGAGAAAAAAATAACTTAATCAAGCTTTTTTTTTCAAAATTTTATTAAAAATGACACATTTGGGCAAAAATTATGTACTGGTATTTATTTCACAAAATCAAAGCAAATAGTTTTTACATTTATTTTATAATTTTAACAGTAGGCTATTAAATAGTTATAATTTTTATAAATAATTTTTACATTACAAGATTTGTTTAACCATTAATGTGTACGTTTTTTTTTAATTTTAAGATTTGATTACCAGTAATTTTGCAATTTTGCAATTTTAGAATTTTTGTCTTAGATTTTGATGATAATAAAATGTCATGAATGTCGCCTTAGGTTAGGATTCAGAAATACAGTGGAGCTTCGTGATTAGACTTATGTTGGGATCCTGTAGGTGTTACAGTGAGATTTATACTTTGCACACAATATGTATAACAAATCTCAGACTTTAGAGCCAGGTAGCTCTCCCTATGTTACTGTGAGCTCTTTATGTAATGATCCACATTAGTTAAAAGATGTCTATCCATGAAAATTTTATCTATAAAATTATCTTGACTTTAATGTTTTTATAATTTTACAGCTGCTAGATTTCTACTTGAACTACTGTATATACTGGAAATCTTCATGGCTAGTAACAAAAAATGGAATTCAATTTACTTATACCGTTCTATTGTTGATAAGATTATTGTTAGCCAAATGTTAAGACAACACTGCTAATTAATATTCAGTACTAGTTATATACAATATAGCTTATATTAAGTTTCAAGAAGTTATACAGAAACTCATGCAAATGCTTTGATTTTTGATTGATAGGCAAATTTAAGATTATTTGAATATGCTATTATATAAAATTATTAACATTTATTTTCTTGCTTAAAGATACATTATGTAAGATTTAGATAATGAGCTAGCCATTCTTGCTATAATAGTTCAAAAATGGATAATGCAAAATGAATATATTGAAAATTTCACTCAAATTACTTTATTGCGAACAAAGATATTAGCCTTTGAAGGTTTGACAAGATATGTGCATTAATTGTAACCACCGTACTGGTTGTTTGAGGTTAAGCCTCACTTCTCTATTTTTAACTTAAATCAAAATATGGCTGAACCATTCTAATCTACTTAATATCGGATGGCATCGAGAGTTAATTATGGTAATAAATGTCTTATTAATAGATTATATAACATTCAGGCCTAAAGAAAGACCTGCAATTGGCAGATTTAATTCTTGCATAATGTATGTTTAAATTAATGATGCCTCTCTATAAACCTTTAACTGGTTGACTAATAGGCACTTGTAATACTTGTAATAGGACAATAGAACTGGTTTATATCAAAACTTAATGGCACATGATTTGAATTTTTGAAAGGTTTGCTTTGTGGAGAAAATATGTACTCAATAAGTAGTGAGTGATGTAAGTTTCCATGCCTATAAAATATTTTCTCCAAAAATGATTAAAAATAAATTAGATTTATAAATGTTATGAATGTATTTATAGATAATAATGTACATATATACATATATATTCATTAGTTATATAAATAGGCATTTTAAACTTAATGTGAATCTGCATAGACAATGTTATAATCCAACAGCTTAAATACTTTTTAACAGTGCATGAAATTAAATAAACATCTGATAATTCACAATTGTTATACAATAATAATAATATCATGCAAGTTATAGTTTCCTGTTTTATATTATGCTAGCAAATTTATAATTACAGTTTTAAATAAATCAAACTAATAGAAGTGAAATCTGTTTAGAAAAGGCTTTTTAACTTATAATGCTACTTAATAGATAATCAGTCAAATTTTAATACTTTATTTACTTTTTAGCATTTTATTTATACTAGCAGAATTCATATAACATCTCGGTTTTGCTAATTTTTTTATCTATTTGCATTGTCTGATCATATCAAGATATCGCTTGATATAAAAAAAAAATAACATTTTTAAAGTGTAGAATTTTTGTTAAGGGAAAGCTGATGATCTCAGCAATTTACTGTACATTATCACCATTCAATTTATCACAAAAACAGATCTCAATATCACCAATATATTTATATAGATAAAACTTTAATCAAAATGGTTTTCTGTTACTGTTAATTAATTCTAATGCCTAGAAACATATCATTATGTATTAGAAGAGATTACCTTTTCGAATGTTAAACTAAATGTCAAACTATTAAAGAAAATTTAAGACTTATCTTTTAAATAATCACATCAGCTTAAGAAACAAAAGGATTAAAAAAGGACAATAGTATGACATTTACATTAAGCAAAGATATAAAGCTGTATTCATTGAATGTTTAATAAAAATTAAAGTTGTAAACTAAACACAAAATTAAATAATGTTTAACTCAGATTCTTAAAATTTGGAAGGACCTTTTGGCCATCTCCCCCCCCCCCCTTTTTGTATATTTTTATCTTAATTTGAATTTTTTTAAAACATTAGTTGTTTATTTTATGTCATATCTATTGAACAAAGTCTAATATACTAGTATATCATATAATATAAACTGAACAATTTTATTTTATGGAAGATAAATTGATATCTATTGATATCTATTATGTAATAAATGTTAAATTATCACAATTAATTGAAAATAATGGTTTTTATTGGAAATATCCATCTTGAAATATTTATGATCTGCAACCTATCATGGATAGATCATTGTCATGACAAGATGGAAGATAGCATAAGGCACCATTTATAATCAAAGTATAGTAGCCTATTTTATTTTATGTTTTAGTGCAGATTTCTTAAATGTTTTTGTCTTTAATAAACATTCTATGTTTTTATCACTTTTGATACTATATCATTTCATTGATGAACTTGTAGATGTGAAGCATTTGTAGCCATTTAGTAGGCTGTAAAGTAGGCTAGTTGTCTGTGATGGAATTGTTTTAATGAGATATATAAACTGTTGGTTTTTATTAATTTTTATGTTATGATATATATTATTCACATAGTATTACTTCATTGTTTTCATAAAAAATAAAATTTTGTAAATAAGCATTTTTTGTGGGTTTTTTTATTTCTGTATATTGTGTGTGTGTGTGTGTGTGTGGGGTGGGGGGGTTAGGTAATTAGTGTAACAGTGCCTTTGTTTCATTCACAGTAGAATTGAAGGTTTTTATACGTAAAGACACTTGAAAATATATTATTTTGAAAAAATATCTTGCTAATCCAAAGAAAACAAAATATGTTAAAAAAAAATGACTGGCTGGCAAACTTTTTAAGTGAAAGACTTGGCGTGTAGCAAGACTTATAAGTTTGTACCACTTTTGTCAATGTTAATCCGTTTGCCATTTATGCCTAAATACAGTGTTTGCAAGAAGAAGGGCAAGATTTTAGCAGAGAGAAATTCAAGATAATATTGTTAGTCCAATAGCATTGTCATATAATAATCTGCCGTGACATCTATGTCCCACGGCTTCTATAATTAGCTGCAGTTCATCACGAGTCTAAATATGTCCCTTCACGGTGCCAATGTCAGCAGTTCATGCAAGGATTTAATTATACCGGTGTTATTATTTTCCCCGACTGCTAATCCAACACTCTAGTATAGACCTACTGCTGAGAAATGTGAAAAAAGAAACATTTCATATAATTATGCAAAAAAAAACGAACGTGTATGTTGCTATAGGTATTGACGGAATACTTTTCGAGCCAATTTCTATCGGTATTTTGGATTTGAGAGGCCATATAATATTGGATCAACCGTTTGTGAAATGAATTGGAAACTATCCAATAGGAGGCGGGTGAACAACAAAACCTATAAAATGATGTATTACAGGGGTCATTTCACATACAATGTTTGTCAAAGTCAATTTCATACCATTTTGGGGCACCATCTTGGATTTTGGGCTCTCCATGAGTTAGCCCGTAGTTGTCAGAGGTAGCAAACTACAGATATCTTCACTAGGGTCCCTTCTATCAGAAAGCATCGTCAAACCTTGTTCCTCGAGAAATGGCCACACATCTGGGCGCTGTGACCCGACTATTTGGCTATGATTGTAGGCACAAAATGTAAACAATGTTTAAAAGGAATGCATATAGGACTATGCATGTATAAATTGATCATTGTCGTTTATGTAGAAGTGGGCGCCACATTTCTGCTTTTCCTAGGAATGTTTGTCAGAGCAGACAGACACGAGGATCGTTGAGAGTGGTCCTCGAATGTGAGAAAGGAAGACATTTTATATATGTAAAACCAGATGAAATAAACATATCAATTTAAAAAAGGCAACATGTACACCAAAGTTACAGCGATACATTCGTAGAGGTATGGGCTCGATAATTAGGGGTCAGAACCTGAGATGCCCCCAAAAAAATCGGGTTACAAACGCGTTTTCCTGCCATACCAGCTCGTGGATACAGCATCTTCATCGTGGTCCAATATAGCAAGCCTTAGGTGGTTGACCTGAATCCCAAACAACCAATCAATCGTCGTGGGGCATGGGTGGCAAATGCGTTTTTTCTGCTATTCTATATTCCGTGAGTTAAGCAACTTCAAAGTTTCCAATCGTTTTGCAATCGAAATCCCACTCTATGTCGACCTGAATTCCAACCATCCAATCGGACTGTTATAGCTGCATTCACAAATAATAATCCTTGTCGGAAAAATGTCGCACATGGTAGACTGGTTCAAGACAAAATGTTTTAATCCATAGTTAAATCAGTACAAATTCGTGGTAGTCAATTAAAATTTTAAATTAAAGTAAAATTATTGTTTTATTAGATTCCGGGCACTTCATTTTGCTAACTGGGTGAAATAATAAGTTTTGTTTTCACTTTACCTGTCTGCCCGACAAGTCAGATTGCCCGAAAGTTTGGAAGAGGGGGTTGGGGGTGGGGGTCACCCCGGCTCGTACACCAATTTCCGAAAATTGAGAATGGTCAAGTGACATTCCCGGAAAGAAAAATATGATAACATAAAGGTGTGCCGGTGAAGTTTGGATTTTATAACAATTATACTTGCCCCGAAAAATGGTCAGCTTTTGCCCTATACAAATGTACAATTTGTGACGCTATCAGTGCCGGACTGGTGGGCATTGACCAAGGCCCACACAAGTACGCGCCGAGGGGGGTCGGGTCTCTCCCCAGGAAAATTGTTTTATTGTCACGGACAGGTGTACAGGTGGGCCCAGTCCGGCACTGGACGCTATTGGGGGTGGTGGGGGTGGGCTGGGGTTGATGAAGGGGCTCACAGACCCCACCTCGTACGACTGACTGTATACGTACCATGAGAAGCCCCAAAGGAATATTTGAAAAATATGTTGTTGTTGTTAGTTAGTTGTATTTTACGTCCGCTTCCATGGAGGTGAGATGGTTGTGTTTTGGTTTATAAGGTAGAATACGATAAAAGGGAGATAAATCTACTATCAACGAAGACTCGTGATGGTAAGTCCAGAATAAACTTGCTCTTTAATAATAATAATGTGAGGTTTTTATTTTTTAATTGTTCGAATCATTGGTAAAAATGTCGGGTACCAGTAACGACATTTCCAAATATTAATGTGACCCCGTCTTTTGCACATGTCCTAAAAGTAGTGTGGTTACATGTATATCATAAACTGTCCTGTTTCTATTTATAGCGGGGTTGGGTGGCCGAATGGTTAGCGAGTGCGCGCGGAATCACAAGGTCTGTCATTGAGTCAAGTGGTGTGGTTTCGATGCCTGTCCAACTTCGTGGGTTTTCTCCGGGTCTTCCGTTTCCTTCCCACTGCTAGAAACCTCTGCGCTCAAGCGAATTATTGAAATAAAATTGAACCATGTCATTGTGTTGGTCCTGAAATGACTTAGTTTGTGTCGAGTGGACGTTAAACCCTATTTCTCTCGCTCTCGATTCATATCTTCAATAATGGAGGAGAGGGTTTTAGAATAATTTGCGCAAAATTCCAATATTTTTTATTTCCCCATCATTCTGTGTGCAGCTGACACGCCCTGGCTGTCAGAAAGATACAATATTCATTTGGTTTCCAAATTCTTACCTTTATTACCAAGGTTAGGAAGGTTGGGTGTGGCGCGCGGGTTCAAAGATTATGTTGAATTAGATAATGATTTCTTTGATTACTCGTCGGTCTATGTATGTTTATAATTATATGTCATAAAATAGAGACGACAAACAGGTTTCATCCCCATAAAACATACCAGGAATTATCATATTTATTCAAATACATGTATACAAACAGACATGTGTATGTGGTTAATCTGTTACAATATTATACGTTTTTTGGGGTTTTTTTTGTCTGTAGTTGTTGAAATTTAAAATCTGTTCTAAACAGTCAATTTATACTTTACTCGGACTAAAATCTTGATTAACTGGATTAGCCAATGTCAACATAATTATAAATTTTATAATTATGGGTTTATTGCATTTGACAGTTCGGGGGTGGGGTGGGTTAGGTGGCCGAATGGTTAGCACGTGCGCGCTGTATCATACGGACTGTCACTGAGTCAATTCGCGCGGTTTCGATTCCCCGGCTGTACGTGACAAGGAGTGGGGTCGCCTATCCAACCTCGTGGGTTTTCTCCGGGTCCCCCGGTTTCCTCCCACTGCATGCTAAAGACCCCTACGCACAAGCGAATTATTGAAATAAAATTAAACCATGTGTTAGTCCCGAAATGACCTAGTAAAGCTACACTACTTTGTTTCACGGTAAACGATGAAAAGATAAAAGGTATATGCCGACACAAACTGATTTCAATACTGGTTTATGAATATTTTAACATTTTAAAGTACTTTTCGTCCGTCTTGGAACTATTCATAGTATAGTATAGTATATTTATACATATTTACATAGCAACGCTGCACTGTGGTTTTAATTGGCTATAGTTACCATTGTTTATGGTTACATAGTATATCGTTAACTAATAGAAAACATGTATACACGTGTCTTAATCTGTAGTATGTGGGTACAATTTAGGAACAATGAGTGGAAGATAATCCTGGGATAGATTTAAGAAAATTAATAAAATTAATGGCCAATTGTTTACTTATTGACTATTAAAGTAGCTAAGTCTCTAACTCAATATCATCCAAATTCTTCGACATTGAAAACACGAATTATTTGTCAATTTAAATGAACATGATGTTGTGATCTTACCGGGAAAAGATGGGCTTCTGATATACAATATTTAAGACAAAATAAACATTTTACATTTTACCGTTTCAGCGCCATTTGTAACATGGGACTCGAAGAACGAGGCAGGATATATTACATAAGCCATGTTGAACGGTGACGCTATATTCTTATCTGGAGAACATGTAGAATAAATACTTTCGGTAACCGATTAGAAATTTCAGTCAAAACAGAGAGAGAGAGAGAGAGAGAGAGAGAGAGAGAGAGAGAAATGGGATTTAACGTCCACTCGACACAAACTAGGTCATTTCGGGACTAACATATGGTTTAACTTTATTTCAACAATTCGCTTGCGCGTAGGGGTCTTTAGCAGTGGGAGGAAACCGGAGGACCCGGAGAAAACCCACGAGGTTGGAAGGCGACCCTACTCCTTGTCACGTACAACCGGGGATTCGAAACCACGCCAGTCGACTCAATGACAGACTTTATGATACAGCGCGCGCACGCTAACCATTCAGCCATCCACCCCCCCCCCCCCCCCAAGTCAAAACAGAAAGATTGAAAGTAAATCTGTTTATATACATTCACATTACATCATTATATGCGTTGCGACCCATTTGTGTCAATTTCTAGGTCCCAAATATTAGCGATTTAGCTCCTTTAAGTCGAGGGACGTATTTTTTAATAAAATGTTCTTCCATTAATTTCGTGGTGTCATCAAGCTTTCATTTTATAAAAAGGGAAAAATTTGCAATTTTACTTGTAGGTGCTGTGCACATTTAAGGATATATCTATTTATAAATAAGGGCCCAATTTCAATATTACAATCCCGTTGATGGTTGCGTACTCGATCCCGTAGATTGTACCCGTCTCCCCGATGAAGAAATTTTGACAACCATTGCATGTCAAGACATGAGATTTTTTGTGTCA